CACGACAGACCCGGTTGAACTCAACTGGCCACTGCTGCTCACTAGAACTTTAGGAAATATCTAGTGGTTAAGCGTTCGCACGTGAGACTGATAGGCCCTGAGTTCTAATCTCGTGGGGCGGGATCGTGGGTGCGCATTCATGAGGAGTCCCATACTAGAATTAGTATTACTGGAACGAAACAGCTATCTAGTACTTTCAGGTTTTCAAAACAGTTATTTATTCAATGTCAATCAATATGTGGTGTGCACCTCTTATGTGGACAGATATAAGTAGTATGTATCAGGAACTGGAAGTGAAAATGCTTGCCCATAGAAGATTGAAATGAAGAGAACAGGAAGGAAAATGGAGAGCGATCAGAGTAACAACATAATTAAAAGAATGATATACTATCTAAAACAACAACTCAAGGAATATATGAAAATGATGTATTTAATGTATGATTTTCATTGTGTAGTTGATTTACCATACTTGAGTTTTTGTACACTACAAGTATATTACACACTAAGAAAATTCAACAATAATAATAATATAGTTAGTTATATAATATACCCTTGTGGGTCAGGGTCATTTTAGATTGGTTTTGAGGAGAACTAGACACCATGCAGACTTTCACGTGACAACCCAAACAGTACAGCTCAATCCCGCTTCACAGGAGAACCAGATACTGTATAGGCTACAATCTGAATAGTACAGCTCAATCCTGTGGTGCAACCACACAGGTACCAAGCATCCTGATGGACCATTCGCATCATTCATATACACATTCACGTCACATGTATAATAATTATTCTGATCAATGATCACGTAAATCAATTATGCACAGTACGAACAGGCCAAAGTTGGCCTATTTCGCTTACACGACAGTCGAACTCATTATTGTTAGTATGCCTTACAATATCCTAATGACAATGGCCCTTGAGAATACTGGAAAGCAACCACCAATATGAATGAAATCGGTTAACCAGCAAATCAATTTTGTGCATGAACAGTCAGTAAAACTTGTCAAACTAATGCCGAACCATCCACAATACCAATGGCAAACCTCCAGTTTCATATGAGACCTTCATCTCTACATAGCCATACAGCTTTAATAATAATAATAATAATAATAATAATAATAATAATAATAATAATAATAATAATAATAATAATAATAATAATAATAATAATAATAATAATAATGAATTCCATTAGAAATCTCATTAATGTCATTATTAGTAAATGAAAGTAAAGAAGTATAGGTCACGGAAACCATTATCTTATTCTTCTTATATAGTTGTATAATTAGGATAGAAAGTATAAACTTTCTTTTTAAATGATTATCTTGATCAAGAGTTTATTTCGAGAGAGAGAGAGAAAAAAAATCACTATAATTTTAATGACAAATAATAGGCTTTTAGAAAAGGGGGAAAAGAAACTAGTAAGTAGTATTAACATCAGTTGGATATAAAAAAGAACACAACTAAAAACTAGAAGGGACTTGTTACGTCCGAATGCAAGACTCTTCAGTATTGTATAGATGTGACTTAACTATGAATGGAATCAAGGACTCCTAGATCTCTTGATGAGAGTTCAATCTTTAGACTATTGAGTACTTAATAGTTTACATTTTTAACTTCAGTTACAATTTGGGATATTGGGAAGCAATCGTCTTTTATTAATGATGATATTTGTCTTATGCTTAAAGTGGTTGGTTTGTGGGGAGACACACACACACACAGAGGGAGAGTTATTCACTTCTCTAATTACTTTTATTTTTATGGGTTGATTTCACCCGGAGAACTGAAAGCCAAATAGCTAATAGACAACTATTTCATTTCAAGATTATTGAATCTAACACCTTAAGGTCATCAATCTATGATGAAGACAATTTCAAAAAAGTTCATTTCAAAAATCAATATTTACTGACAATTTTAATTGTTGTTATAAGGACCAGAATGATTCAAGAGATAAAATATAATGAAACTATAAACTGTCAGTATTATTAATTTTTGTATTGGTTGCTTGAGTTTTCGCATTAATGTTTAGCACTGCAATTGATCAGTCTCTTATTAGCATATATGAAACCTGAGCGAATCACCTTACATCATTAGTATTATAAGTAAAGATGAATGGTGATTAGCAGTGGAATCCAGGACGCCCGTTTCGTCCCAGCTGGGACTCGTTAGCTGGATACACCTGCATCCCAGAGTCGATGTTCACCCCAGGACTCTGGGATACAGGTACATCCAACTGATGAGTTCCAGCCAGGACGAAACGTGCATCTTGAATTCTACCGCTAGCCACCATCATCTCAACTTATCATTGTTATTATTATCATTATTATTATGTAGTAATTAAAATAACCCATTGTATCACTGAATTAAAATAAAGAGAATTCAGCGAACAAAATTTTCTCGTGCCGCTGAAATCATTTACTTAAGCTGTACATTCGTATTTATGGTTGTATGGTAAATATATGTCTGTAGAATGATAGAGAAGATTGCGTCATAAAGGGATCCGAGATTCTTATTATCAAATGACGTTACGTAATGCTCAAAGGGTCAGAGAATAATAGAAGGATGAAAACAATTTACAGGTCAAAATTATGATAATCGTCCACTTGACAAATATGAAGAAAAACGAAATACACAAAGGTCATAATGATAAAAAGTGGATATTAATAACTGATTACAATTTGAAATTACAGAACTTTAATTTAAAAAACAAGCCCAAAACATACTATTGAAGGGAATTAAGGTCAAGGAAGGATGAGAGGTTGGATGTATCGTTTATACACGCAGAGTTCGGCTTGAATTGGTAGATCGCCAATGCCTGAACAGTACAAAAGTTTTTGATTCGACCTCCCTTAGATCCAGTTCCTTCATTGTGTAGATTATTTCGATAGAAGGCTCGTTCAGAGCGATGTGTCCAGAGTTGATTGGATGCACTTAGATTCAACTGGTAATTATTTTAAAAGCCAGGCCGGATTGTGTTCTGAGATGCGTTTAAGAAAGTGATCGCTTTGTGCAGCCACTGTAACCTGCCCCACAGGAGCAAGTAAATTTATAGAAGCATATTGATGTGGCCCAAAGCGAAATTTTATCCTTAACGTATCCGTGGATGACAGGTCAGCTTGAGAAAACAATACGGAGCTTGGCTGAATAGAACATTGTATTCATGGATTTTGAGATCCGTTGATTCAAGATTTCAACATCCGTATAGAATATAAAAGAGATACCGCCAATAATGAAGTTCTATGAAGTTTCCCTCATATTGTTAACTGAGTTCCTAGCTTTGCAACTTGTTGGAGTGTTTAACGATGACATAGGTTCTCAGAACGATTAATCTACGATATAACAGCACCATAAAGTCTGCATACCAACTAGTATAAGCGATGATGTTAATGTTAACATATTCCTCGACTGTGTCGAGATTTTTGAAAATCAGATATCATCCAGACAATGAATCCATAGTCATAAAAAGCAAGATATTTAAATATACTTTCTTCTATGCTTTGATCAATACAGAAGAGCAACTGTATTCTATAACTAATAAACTTGGTGGCTCAATTCATGTATTTATTACACCGAGTAATACCAGTTATCATTAGTGCCTCCATTCATCAGTTTTATTCCTTTTTGTCATATTATGTTAACTAGTGTGACATAAAGTTTATCGAGTGGCACTGAAACATAATCACATAATTTCGGGTAAACAAGAGTTACAGATAGATAGATATCTACTTACTTATTAGTAGTATAAACACTTTTCAATGAGAAAATATACATAAAACCTTGAAATTATCTATTTTTCTAAGATTCAATTAAACAGTTGATATAATTTTATAGTATATTCACCGATGAATTATCACATTGTAAAGCAATTTGGACCAAAATTGATTGAATAATCAGGAAAAAAACAATCCAGATTAATAACACTATAGTTAAACTAAGCAATTTTGAATAATTGTTTCTGGTTAGCGTCCGTTGTCCGGACACTATCAGCAACAACCAACTGTGCGAAAGAACAAACCAGACCCCAGTGGAGGAATAAATCAGGAAGAAGCGCTGGAAGTGGATAGGACACACACTGAGGAAAGCACCCAACTGCGTCACAAGACAAACCCTCACATGGAATCCGAAAGGCCAAAGGAAAAGAGGAAGATCAAGGAACACATTACGCCGGGAAATGGAGATAGGCATGAGAAAAATGAACAAGAATTGGAAGGAATTAGAAAAGAAGGCCTAGGACAGAGTGGGTTGGAGAATGTTAGTCGGCGGCCTATGCTCCATTAGGAGTAACAGGCGTAAGTAAGTAAGTAAGTAAACTAAGTAATTTGAAAATTATATTATTGAAATTTTACCAAGTTACATACACTCGTATACACACACACAGACGCACACATAGACACAAAGAACAGTTGTCGTAGGACAGTGCAAATATGTAAAAATGCAGTTCCATGAAACAGCTGAACAATTATTCATTGAAATAGTTGAAACTTTTCGAATATGAGTGACGGCTAGTTAAAATAATGTTGAATTTATATTATAACAGTAAGAAAAAGATAAAGTATAGAGAAGGGAAGCATTAGAATAATTAATAAATTAGAGCTAAGTAATTGGACAATTCATGACCGGTTATATTCAACCATGATGAAACTGGAACAGTCAATATCAGATCTATTGCATAATAGATGCGCTATACTAATAAATGATTGAATCTGAATCTATAAACAATTAAATACTGTCTCACTAGTCTACAGATATCATGTTCATCGCAACATTCAACGATCATATATTCGATTACCTGGTGGGATCATGAACGTGTAAAACTAATGAAATGTCTCAATACCAGAAAGAAACAGCTATTCAATTACTTATGTTTTCTTTTCAAATAATTGTCTGATCAAAATCAATTCATGATAAAAGGTTATCTTCATTTGAAAAGAAAAAGGAAAGAAGAACGAGTCAACGACAACAGTGGCAATATCAATTATGAATAAGATAGAAAGACTTACTTTCATCATACGTTTCACTGAATATGCCAATGATAAAGTTACAGCAAGTGGTAAACCTTCGGGAACAGCAACAACTAATACTGTCACACCAGTAATAATATAATTAACTATTTGTTTCAAATGTTTTCCAGTTTGCCATGGTTCTTTATTTTGTGCAAATGTATGTACTGAAAATTTGATGATTAATATTAGGACAGTAGCTATTGCAACACATGTACCTAAAAAAATGGGATGAAAAGAGAAAGACAGAAAAAAGTAGTCAAAAACAAGTATTAAACGCTTTTTAAGCGATCGGAATGACTGCGAGAACAGCTTATTAGAGGGACGACAAGTGTGATGTATGCTACTTATGTTGACAAATATAAGTAGTGTGATGTGTGCTAATTATATTGACATAAGTAGTAGATGATGCTAGTCAGGAACAAAAGGTCTGGCAGCAGAGAGACAAGAGGATCGTACAGTAAAGAATGGAAGCAGAATGCAATTTGTATGAAAATGCAAAAACAGTAAAGTCTGAGTCATTTTGAGACAATTGGTGGACATTTTGCAAATTATTCATTTACTTTATGATTGTTAGATTTCATTAACAAGTCCTGTAATTTTGTGTTAAGTACATTCGATTGTCTCCATTGGTGTTCTTGTTCACTACAGTAGTACTTAAGACTAGTCAGAAGTGGAATGTCTGTCAATAGAAGGTTGAGAAGATTGAACTGAAGAAAACAGAAAGGGAAACATAATGGAATTGACAATCGGCAGAATCATGAAGGATGTAAAGGGCAACTGATAGAAGATGTGCAAATGAAGTATTTATTTTCATAATTTACAAAAACATTCTGCAATTTTGTAGTCAACAATAAAATGGTTACCCGCACCAAAATGTTGTTTTAAGATCTTTAAGGACAGAGGAGATGAGTTAATTTTAGGCACAACCTTTTTTTTACCGAAAAACAAAAAAAAGTGACTGCATGTACGACAATGTAGTTGATTTTGAGCCAAGTTTTTCAACGTACCTAACCATCGATGACACTAGCCCCAACCAGGTAGTCTACAACATCGAGTGATACACATGTATATGATCCAGAACATTTAACAATTATACCACTTCTATTACACACTACATCGGGAATCGGAGGTAAACATCAAAAGGATGAATAACAACTGAGAAGGATTGCCAAGAACAGAGTTCGATGCAAAATACTGGTGGGTGATCTATACTCTTACATGACGGATAATTAGTCAGTCAGTCAGCTATAACGTAGGACCAGGCATATATGTGCATCGGTCCACGTTGCCATACCGCATCAGCACAACAAGATGAACACCGGATTCATAGCAGTGGTTAGGTCAAAGATGGTAATATATAAAAGAAAGATTGCATATAGAGATATAGTACAAAAAGAAAGAATTGGTTTGTAGAAAGAAAGATATAAAGTGATTTTAATCTCTTAGTTTAAGGGAAGACAGGGAGTGTATACACCGACGCCATTGTGATCGATTCTGAGCCATGTCACCAAGAGTCTTCAACCATTGGTTACGAAAGTCACGCGGATAATAGGCTTAAGGAAGTATTATTACTTGTAGTAGTAGTAACAGTATTATTATTATTAATTTTCTCTTTATACATGTACAAAGATTGAGTTCATTAAAGGGCAAGCTAACAAAGAATGATTGATAGTATCAAATGACAGATTTGATTTAGTTAGTATCTTAAATGGAAGCATAAGAAAACAATAAAGAAAGAGAAAATAAGAGAGAAAGAAAGAGGAAAAAAAAGGGTGTGATAATGCTTTTACAACTGGATTATTTTTTTTTCTTTCCCACTTTACTTTAAAATCTGTCTTGTTCAATTTTTCCTCTATGTAAAGTGATTTATATTTTCTTTTCACTACTATTCTTATATACATTGAACAAGTTATTCAATGTGGTGTTATACTGTTTTCTTCAAATTAAATTATTGACAGAGTAGAGATTAGAAAATGATGCCGAAATCCTACTTCATAATAATATGAGTTTAATATCTTACATCATTATTTTCAGCCAGTCAGTAACAACGTAGAACTTCGTACGTACATATATCAGTTCCAGTTGCCATACCACATTAGCACACAGATGCAGTTATCGACTCAAATTCCGTAGTGGTAGAGGCGGTAAGAGTATAAGCAGTAAACGGAAACATTAAGGTTTGAAGATTTTATTCAAGGAGTATAATACAGTGAAATAAATTTGGAAAGAGAAAAAAGAAAGGGACATAAAGAATCTGGAAGATTAGAATTTGGGAGTGGATGCATCTGCGCCATTGCAAACGATTTTGAGCCATGTCATTCAGGGTCTCTAACCATCGGTTGCTACCAACTCGCGGTCCCCAACCAGGTAGTCTACACCCACCAACATGGCTCAGTCAACTTGTCAATGACTTCATGGATTTGTCCCATGTTTTGGTCCGGCCTCCCCTATCTTTCTTCCAATCTATTCCTATACCATTGAACATCGCACGTCAAGGCAGTCGGTGTTTAGGCATACGTAACACATATCTCAGCCATCTCAACTGATGAAGTTTCACTACCTCATCAATTGATTTGCCATCCTTACCTAGTACCCGTTTCCTAACAACTGTGTTACTTACTCGATGGTCCCATGATATACGAGCAATGTTTCGAAGACACCTATGATCAAATACTAGTAGCCTACGGATATCCTCTACTCTTACCGGCCATGTTTCACTGCCATAAAGTAGGACGGAACGAACTGTTGCGCAGTAAACACGTCATTTGCTTGTTAGACGGATATCTCATCTACGCCATAAATAACGCAAGTTGGCAAAAGCTAGTCGAGCCTTCTGTATCCTTGCTGAGATTTCGTCACACACCAGACCACAAGGGCTGATCAGACTTCCAAAATAAGTGAAGCGGTCGACACACATCATTATTTTTCAAGGTATATATACATATTAATCTATTATTGATATTAAGCATTGAATGCTGGTCAATCTTAGTTGATAAATGATCATTCATTATTAAATAAATAGGTTTTAACTAGCAGTAGAATCGAGAACATAAGTCACACTCCATTTATAACTGATCAGCTGCATTCCAATGTTTATGTTCATTTTAGAAATAGGAAAAGATTCATATATGAAGATGTTTTAGAATAAACTGGCTCAGTTAGACGAGAAGCTACTATTTTGAAGATCTAATAAGAACTCAGAATTGAACTCTAGGCTGCTCATAATGGTTTATGTGTAATTGATCTGGTCAACAAATCGATGTTTTCATTGGCGATCGTATCACGTGATAATTAGCAGGTCATAAGGAAATAATACAAATGATGATGCAGACATTGATTATAGTGCTATAAAAGCTCCCTCTGATTCACTTCAAATATTTGAACTGACAGTAATCAATGTTAATACCAACTTTGAGTTTAGACTCCCAATATAAGAAGTAAATAACACATATATTTGATTTGCCCAAATAGAAAGAGGCTCTATCTTTGATACGAATTGTCCGATTTCAGGCAACCAGATAGCCAAAGGTATTAATATGTACGCTTCCGATTAAAATTGCTGGAGAAGTTAAGGGACTTAATTGATCAAGTATTCATTCACGTAAGTCAATCTCTGATAAAAATACACTATAACAACTATTAACCACATGCGTATCAAACTGTTATTTCACTCATCAGGTACAAATTCGTGTACCTCTTTTGATTGATTGATAATTAGTAATTTGAACATATGAATTAGTCACTAGAAATCAAATGTTAGGACCCGAGTTATACCCAGTAGATTAATTATTGCTTGATATGATGGAAAGAAAAGTCAATTTTCAATTGATTTACTCATTATAAGTTTTGTTCAACATTCAACATCCGTTTTGATTCAACATGAGGATCATTCAGTGTAGTAATTGATTTGTTTCCCCATTATGATATTTTATTCTGTATAATATACGATATTCTTGTATTCCCTTGACATGAACTATGCTCAGTAAGTGATTTGTTATAACTGAGTATGCGATTTAATCCTAATTATTAATAAAAATGGGTATACAATCAATATATAAATGAGTGTATTTGAGACTAGATTTCGATTCGTCGTTGTCATCGTGTTTTGGGGCTAATAAATCTTCACTTATACCAGTCTTAATATCGCGTCGTGGGGATTGCAGAGGTCCCTCGTTCCGAGTATAAGTGATCAGCGCTTTTTTTTCCGGCAAAGCAATCAGCGACGACCAAATACAACATCAAACATCTTGCCCATCTTTACAATGTAAAATCTCTTATTTTCACTCACATAGGTATGCTTAAACAATGTATCTGAGTAACTTTCATTCATAAGGGTTACTTTTTTTACATTATTGTTTATTTGAAAAAAAGATCTCACAATTGCTCTTCTTTGACTCTTCACTTCTATCACTCATCTTATACACAACAAAGCCATCAATACAATGAATTGAAGACGTTTTACCAGACATAGAATCATCATCATTATCGTAGAGTAATATAGTCTGAAATATTTGAATACTTGTAACATTTTTATTAATTTCTATTGTCATTATTTGATACAATTAAAATAGAATGGATAGAAGTATTGAAACGTTAGTGTGTAATCTTCTCTCTTTGTTTCCTTCTCTTTCTCTACTCTTTATCTTCTTACTTATCACCGGATGGTACACATATTAAGAAATAATGAATGAACCCGCCATAACAAAATAACCGCCTACAATTATTTCAATATTCAATATATATAGCCAATAGTCAGTCAATTAACTGATATCATTATTATTAGTTCCTATGTATTACTCTTGTACAAACGATTATGTAACATTTTTCAAAATATAAAATTGATAACGAATTTCTTTTTCTTTCTTTCTTTTCAAATGATTATGTCATTGGATGTAGTAACGAAATCGACATCTCTTATAAGTAAAGTTAAAATAGTATCTAGATAGATAAATTACATGGTAAATGATGGTAAGTTATAATTAAGTTATAAGCAAAGATGGATAGTGGTTAGCAGTGGAATCCAGTTTGATACGCGTTTCGTCCTATTTGGGACTCGTCAGCTGGATGTATCTGAATCTTAGAGTTGATGTTCACTCTAGGACTCCAACTCAGTACCGTTCGTTTCAAACGCCATCTCACATTATTCACCTACCTACTGACTCCTGATAGCCACTTGCTTGTGAAATGAGGTGAAGTTTAATTCACTATGCGTATT